ACCAAACATTTGCCGGGTTTCCCGTCTGAAATGCGGAATTTGATTAGTTCAGATGTTTTCTGAAAAATGCTGAGTCTGAAGTAGATACGTTTGTTGTGTGCACATGTCAGTTTTAATAAATAAATCAAATTACCTTTTTATTACTGATTGCATTGTTTAGCAATCTATATTTAAACATTTTACCAGCATACTTATAAACCAATAATTCTGTTTCAACAGTAATGTAAGTGCTTCTACATTTTTGTGAACTTTTTTAATTGATTTTTAATTGATAATAAATTCCATGAATGTTTACTGGCAAGACAAATTGTTGTATGCAAAAAAATTACATGGAGCTCAATTTTTTCTACTGAGTTGCCTCCATGGGACCCAAAATTTTGAATGGCTAACCACGAATACTGCTCCAGAGTTTAACATAAAATTTGAACCACAAATAACTGACTAATATGTCATGACATCTAAAGAAGAAGAACATCTGAAGAATATATATGGCCCCTTCTTTGCCATCCATCTAGAGCAGGTTTATGATAGAAATATTACCTAGTAAAAAGTAGCAACTAAATTTTTATTACACACAATATACAAATGGTACAACAAATAATTTGCGAAGATCAAATGTAAACTGTATGCAACATCTTCAAAGGTTTCAAGTCTAGTTTGTTAAAGACACAAAACTGTATCCATGTTCCTTATACATGTATTCTTCAATATTATTGCTGAAAAATGAATCACTTTATTTGAATGGCTGCTGTATATGAATTAACCTATTGACTACCCATAGTGACGAGTCACCTCAGATATGATCTTGAAACCCAAAGTGACAAGAAAATCTGTCATAAAGTTTTCACTAAAATTGCTCTTATTTTAACAATTTTCATCCAATTTAGACAAAAATTAGCTGTCAAAAATGAAAAATTATCTGGCTTCACCTGATTTTAGAGCATGGGATTCAAAAGGTTAATAAATTATTCTTTGATTTAGCCTCCCTTTTCCATTTGTATCTACTATACATCACCCTTTGGCAATGCTCTTTAGAGTTCTGTACATGTACCTTTAAAGAAAAAATAATCAATGTTTTATTTATTAATAATTTCTACACATGATATGTACATGTCAGGTGAACATCATATCCCTGGATTTTCTATATATAAAATTCCAAGAAGGACATGTTTTGAATTACAAAATATACCAGAAAAGAATGAAATCAAAAGGAATTAGTAAACAGGAATCTCTGAATATTTGAAATAAATTATATACAATACATGTATCAACAATATTGATATTTATTCAGCTTTCCTAGAAGAATAAAGTAAAAAAACAATGTTCAGCATGATTTTTCAAACACAGGCTTTTTCCAATTTTAGTCATTGTTTTCTGTAGGATTATATAACGCTCATATAAAGAGATGTCATAAAATGATTAATGATGCTAGAATTCTTTTGAGAAAAATCTTGTGTAAACAATTCTTAATTCATGTTATTTGAATGTTATTTTGGTTTATATATGCTGAGGAATTTTATTAGAGTTCTTCCTTGGCCGTCTTCATTCATATTTTTATTTTTGAGAGAAAAATAAGAAATGAGTGTTAGAATGCATGTGCTTCAAGGTCTAATCAATATCTTGAGAATGTAGCAGATCGATTTTGAACTAACGTCAACTTTTTTGCAATGTTTTTCAATATCGCTAATTTAACTGATTTTATTTTCTGATTTTTGCCTTGGGATAATCTAAGAAAATCCCTTTCTGAATGTCACCAAATTATCGCGAATCATTTCAAATCTCCAGGGAACCTTAGTTGTGATTGGTTTAGATAAAAAATATATTTCGGAATTTAATATCTTACAGGATTTACTGCTCTTAAATTCATCCTCTCATTTAACGTGGAAAGGTGATTTTAAAAACATTTTTCTGTTTTCCTAACATGTTCAACATGTTTTTGTATATTCCCTATCTGAATACCTAATTTTAGATTCAGTTTTTTTGACAAAATCATTAAATTTCAAAGTTTCACTGAAAGGACATTCTTTTTATTATGCGATTATTCCATCATAGGAAGACAAACTATCTGGATTTCCCCACGATCCTTTGCTAAGGGGGTCAAATTACTCATAGATTTATGTTGAGGGAACACATGGGGTTCTTTCAGCTAGGGCCTTCCTTAGAGATAAGCACTGACAACTAATATGTTGTCATCAAGTCAATTGAATTCTATTGGATTAAAGTATAGTACGTATACTACTAAATATCTAGATTTTAACACTTAATAGTACAGTGATTGACTCACTCGCAAGCTCCAATAATGGGTGTTTTCAAAACAAGTGAATTGTAGAAAGCAGTATTAAAGTTTGAGATCTTTGTACTGTTAACGAATCAGTAAGAAATCAGACATTCTTTTATGTAAAATTATAAACAGTAATATGTCTTTCAACTAATACTAGATTTTATGCTTATTGCTAGTCTAGTTTGATTTCAGGGTTTTGAGTTAATTTATGATCTTTTATGATCATCAGTATGAACATCATCTTAGAAAAAATGATTTTGTCAACAATTTCTGAATATATACATATTGATTCTTCGGGAATTTAAGAATTAGATAAAATGAATTGAATTGAAACTCATCTCAATGTTTTCAGGTCCAGATCAATTAATAGAGCGTGCATCACATTCTGGCGTCATTCATCCTGGAGTTGAATGGCACACACAGACCCACAACGGACCAACTGCCAGCCTCATTTTCAAATTACGGGTGCGATGTGAAGAACATTATTACAATAATACATGCACAAAATTTTGCCGTCCTCGGAATGATAGATTTGGGCATTACCAGTGTGATGGGAACGGAGATAAACTTTGCCTTGAAGGCTGGATGGGCTCGAACTGTGAAACAGGTATTTGCAGGATTTAAGGTTCCCCAGAAATATTAGTCTTCTTTTTCCCTACATATGATCTAAATGGAGTATTATCCAGTATAAGAAAACATATTTTTGTTGGGGTAACATTTTCAAAGTGACAATACATTTGTAAATTGCCTAATTGTGCTCACCTTAATAGTAATAATTACATGTACAGTAAAACCTGTATATCTGAACACCTCTCTAATCTGAACACCTCTCAATTTGAGAGCTTTTTGGTCAGGCCTTTTCAGAAAGGTTCTCACTTTTCAGACTTTCTACTGCAGTTACTTTCTACATATATAATTCATAATTACAAAAGAAAATCTTTTAGTGAGATAAGGTAATTAATTAATCCAAATGTTTTATATCAAAAGCAAATTAGATTACCAGGAAATTTTGTAGTAATTCCAAAAATGACTTGTACTAAACATACATGCTGGGAAAAAACATATGTTCTCTTCGTAGTAAAATATTGTAGTATGATATATCCCATTCAAAGGCGTTCATGATACATAATCATACTTATTTGATTCAATTTCTATACAAAAAACAATCATTATTAGAGTTGATCTCTTTGTTTTAATTGATACACTCTCAAAATGTTGATAATTTATAAAAAGTATTCCTTTATAAAACCACTCTTTTTACTTGGAAATGGTGACGCCATTGCCATGTTTTGAATTGGTTTGCATGACAAGCACTTCATTGAAGGATCAATAAATCTGGTCTCGTTTGGCCTAGAACCATAACTGTCAGCAACTCCATCTTATCAATGAAGATATGTAGAGAAAATCAGATTATACACATATATATCCTTTGTGTAGTGTAGTCAGTGCATAAAACATTTTTGCATCGGATTTCTAATTGATTTTTACAGCCATTATGTAAGAACAGTATATTATTCATTTTTAATAGGTAATTTTTTTCAAACTTGAAGTAAGCATTCTTTGGTTACCATGTCTGTATGTTGCAGCATGATTGCTTTTTATAAATAAATTAAAGGTGTCAAAGGTTGTTTATTCATTATTGCTTGCAATTATGTATCTTTTTATCTTCTTATATATCATTTTAAAGCTGACATATCTATATCTATTGATAGCAAAGATTGTCACAAGGAACATTGTGAAACTATTTTTGAGCATGTTCCAGAATTCCTCTAATTCTGTCTATATCTGATGTAGACATTTGTGTAGTCTCTAGAAAGTTCATTGTAAGACATTAGATAAACGTTAAGGTTTAAAACATGAATAGCTGGGGGAGTTGTTACAAATATGAAGCATGAGATCTTTATTATTTTTATTTATTATTTATTTTTAGCAATCTGTCGAACTGGTTGCCATAGTATCAATGGAAAATGTAACAGACCAGGAGAATGCAAGTAAGTAAAATTACTTATATATAATAAATTTTAAGACTTTTTTGTATTTTCTTGCAGCATATTATTTCATTGGTTCCTTTACCAATATTAAATTCCAATTGGTAATAATTGTCAGTCAATTTAATCTTTCTACTTGTTCACGAACCAAATTGTACCACATACACTTTTGAGAGTATTTTGGATTTACCAATGATTATCAGCATCTCAGTAAGTATGGGGCTGATAAACCAATTTTTATTGCCTTTTTGACAATCATGATTTTATATCAAACTTATACTGATCATATGTTCATGTAGGTGTAAATATGGCTGGCAGGGACCACTTTGTGACCAGTGTATCCCCCACCCTGAGTGCCGACATGGAACATGTAATGGGTCACCATGGCAATGTGTATGTGACCTCAACTGGGGAGGAATTCTATGTGACCAAGGTTTGACACTTTTGGAGAATCTTCATTTTATTTTATACACATATTTTCATTTTATTTATAATTTGAAATGACACCCAGTATTTACAACAATGGTTTTAAGGTATTATACTCAATGAAATGCTACATCATTTCATTATATGATATTCGGAAACACATGAATTAATTTTGTAAAAACATATAAAATGCCACATCTGTAATTATAACATAGTTGGTATTTGAAGTGTTAGGAAGTAGACATTAAATCTAACTTGAACTTAAATTCGAGCTTTTTTTAGATTTAAACCCATGTGGACGTCATACACCATGTAAAAATGGTGGACAGTGTGAGAATTCCGAGCCAAATAAGTACAGATGTGTTTGCCCCGATGGTTTTTCAGGGCGCAATTGTGAAATAGGTAAGACTGCATGCACGCCATCTTTTAATAAAATCAAAAGTTTTGAGCATGGAAGCTATACAAAGATTAAGATTTTATACCCTTTCTGTTTTAACTGTATTCATACTAATTCAAAAAATTAATAAATACATTTATTGTTTTCTGTTTGTCTCATGCAACCATTTAATTCTTCTACTAATTGAGTATCCAGCATGCAATATTGATAATGTATCATTATCATGAAAATTTATTGAGAAATTGAAAGCTGCATTTGCTCTAAAAGCGTTTGCTCAATGGATTAAAAAAAATGGAATAACAATGTTATTTTATCCTTATTAAGTAAAAACCTCCTCATTCATTGTTTGCTTCTAGCACAAGATGCATGTGCCTCTGACCCATGTCTGCATGATGGGAGGTGTATGAATTCTAATGGAGCATTTATGTGTTCTTGTGCCAGTGGATGGACCGGAACTACTTGCAGTATAAGTAAGTTGGATAATTTTTTTAAAGTTTTCATTCATTATTAATTGTGAGATTTTGTTACTCTGAGTGTGAATTCTGACACATGTTTGATTAAGACCTTATCATATTCAGCAATTTGTATACATTCAAAGAGTGCGCTTGAAACCTGTGTTAAATTATAATACTCTCATTTCTCAGAGACATCTATTCTACTTAGTTTGTAAAAACAGATAAAAGCAGATTTTACCAATGTAAGATGAGTTATATTTATGTTTTCTAAGGAAGTACATAGGCAATATCAGAATAGAGTTGCTATTATCTGTTAACTTTGGAGTTGTTTTGAATAAAAGATAAATGAAAATTTCATTTCATATTCTAGACACCACAGGCCAAGGTATTAATCATGTCAATATTTATTGCCACAGTGTACTATTAACAAATTAAACATTAGTGTCCAGAATAGATGTCACTACAGTCCATTTCTGTTGGGTTTGACGTTGATAAAACCTAAAAACAGGCAATCAAAAGAATGCAATAGCTTGTATATTAAAAAAAAAAATTCATATTTTACACCCAAAATGTTTGTGTATTTGAGATAAATTAGTTTTATGTGCAATAGACCTGTGGCCTCTTGTAATTTAGGGAGTTTCAGCCAATATATTAATTTTTTTCTAAAATCACGCGGTAGTATCTCTTCGGGACGTATCGAAACCACTCCGTCCCGAAAAACCGTTAATTTGAATTTAAAACCTACGCCAGTGTTTGAAAATCAAGGATTGTGAGTCTCACACTTCACCGTTTTTCTTCAAACTTGTTCCGTACAAAGCTTCACAGAAATACCTTTCAGTCGATACATTGTTTTCGTGTACAAAGTACCTTGTTTTAGCGGCGTTTAGGTCCCCAGCTGTGAGATAAAGCAAATTTTCATAACTTTCAACTGTAAGTCAAGTTATCTCGCCAGTCTTTTACCCATTCTCGCCCATAATTTCAGAATGGACTCCCATTACAACCTTCTATCGCTACGTCTTGATTTTTGGGCATCAAACGCAGCAGTTTCTAAATCATCCACACATCTCTTCAAATTTGACCAATACGTCCCGTCATCTTCCACTACGCCCCGCCGAGTCTATCACCATACACGTAGAGTTGCATTCTTAAACAATTTATCCATCGATGTGTCCGTTTGTAGGTTGCCATTGTCGATTCTAAATACCAATCGGATTGTGTTTTAAGATTTACCCATTCTTGTCCATTTTCAATATACCTATAATAGGCCGGGTGGTCCAGAATCTCCCTAAAATTTAGATTTCCCGATATTGCAATATAAAGATTTTAATTACTGAACAATTGAAAATATTTTTAAGAAACGTTTAAAGTGCCCTATCCTTGAAAAAATGTTAAAATGCGAAAGGATGGGTGATGTCAATTATATTATTTTCAGCATAACGTTAGAAACATGTATCATTTTATATGGTACACGTTTCATAATGTAATCCAATGGAATCATACAGAAGAAAGGTTGACACACAACAGTTAAAATCTTTATATTACATTATCAGACCAAGTCAGTAGATGTTGTTTATATACCAATTAGTGTTGTATGATGATGCATTCTTTATATGAATCTAGAAACGTTTTTGTGCCAATATTGCTAAATTTTGATAACATCTCCGTTATTTTGAAGCGTGGCAAAGTTTCCCGATTGATTTAGCTAAAAAAAGTGGTGCCTGTAGGGTTATTGAAAATCATACATGATGAAGAAAAAGTTATAAACCATTTATGAAAACGGCATATTTGTCAAAATTACCAAAACTTCAAGTGAGACGCGTGGCAAAATTTCCCAGGGGTCTAGAGTGGAAATATTTGTACCAAGAGTCAATTTGTAACTAGAATCTATCAGATGACAGATTTTTGGAAAATTTTGCAGATTTGGACAACCCTAACCTATAACTTTGTTGCACCTGAAGAAACGTATCAACTTTTTGTTAAATAAAGATAGCAAATTCAGCTGTCTACTGTACCTAACTTGTACTTTTTGCTAGTACTCAGATTGATGGATATTCTGTCGTATGACATGCGACAAACATATCAATTCTCATGGGTTTACATGGGAATGTCGATTTTAAAGCAACATCTTCACAAACATTTAAATTATCAATTTCATGCAATCAGTTATAGTTATACTCCGTATGTATGCTAAACTTAAGACTGGTGTTAAGAATCGACCAAGGCAAACCTATGTAAAATTACACAACGATGAACAAAATGTTTTAGAATACAACTCCACGTTTGTAGTCATAGACTCGGCGGGGCGTAGTGGAAGGTGACGGGACGTATTAGTCAAATTTTAAGAGACGTGTGGATGATTTAGAAACTGCTGTGTTTGATGCCCAAAAATCAAAACGTAGCGATGGAAGGTTGTAATGGAAGTCCATTGGCGAGAATGGGTGAAAGACTGGCGAGATAACTTGACTTACAGTTGAAAGTTATGAAAATTTGCTTTATCTCGCAGCTGGGGACCAAAACGCCGCTAAAACGAGGTACGTTGTACACGAAAACAATGTATCGACTGAAAGGAATTTCTGTGAAGCTCTGTACGGAACAAGTTTGAAGAAAAACGGTGAAGTGTGAGACTCACAATCCTTGATTTTCAAACACTGGGGTAGGTTTTAAATTCAAATTAACGGTTTTTCGGGACGGAGTGGTTTCGATACGTCCCGAAGAGATACTACCGCGTGAAAATAACATGAGAAGCATCAAAGCGGAATGCAGAGGCATATAAAACATGTTTTATATGTCTCTGTGTAGGAACACACATTTTATTAGCCAAACCACAAGCAATCCAACATATACAAACATTTTGCATGTAAAATGTGAATTTATTTATCCATATAATATTGCACCGTGTTCTTTTGATTGCATATCTTTTAGGTTTTATGATGTCACAACTGAGTTGAAATGGACTGTAGCAAGCACTTTATTAACAGACTAATCCCATGATACTTCAATTCTTCCTGTAGTGTTTTAGAATATTTTTAAGATGTACAAAGAAATGGATGTGAATTCGGACTATTGTGGTTCTCTTGAAATGTCACTATACATATATATATGTTTATACAGCTTACAACTTTCAATGCATGATGGTGAAAAGGGGGATCACGGGGATAGCTAATCCCTAACTTTTTTAGGGATTAAAATGTCTTAACATTGGATGAAAATGAAACAATCACTTACTTTACTAATATAACTAATCACCTAATTATAGATATTAACGAGTGTGAATCATCACCCTGCTTGCATGAAGGTGAATGCGTCGATAGAGTGAATGGATTTCAGTGTCGTTGCACGTCAAAATGGAAGGGCCCCACCTGTCAACTGGACAAGGATGAATGTGCTGGTAGTCCATGTGTAAACGCTCTTTCTTGTCAAAATATTGTGGGAGATTACACATGTGCCTGTCAGTCTGGTTGGACTGGCAAAAATTGTGATATCAGTAAGTGCTGCCACCTATAGTATAAGAAAGTTTGGGGACTCCCTTTGCATTCAAAAGTGTTGTAGAACACATTGATTGTTTTAAAAATACTGATTATTGATACATTTGTCTGTTTATTATATTGCACGTACACCAGCTTTATTCAACTGAATGATTAATCAAACATGTCCACCCATTTAAAAACAGTTTTTTCAGATAAATCCAATGTTCGTGTATCTTTACTGTAGAATAAACAATCATACCTGTGCAATCATTTTCTGTTGTACAAAGCTATATAGTATATGATGTTAAAGACCAGTAATTTTACTGATAGATTGTACTCTTATTCATTAAGTAAATCCTTTTATATCGAATATTGCTATACATGTACATATACATATTTAGCTTTTAATATTAATTACAATATCAATAAATGGATATTCAATAAAAAAGTGTTTACAATTTTACATGTAGATGTTTACATACAGGTTTTACTGAAATTCATTCATTCGTGACTTAAAAGGATGTGTCCGGGTATATGCCCTTTTGGTCCCTCAGTCAAATGTATGTTAAATATGTTTTTTATTACTGTCCTAGTTATATTTGATAAGTATATTTACTTTTTCACTAGTTTTGATGCATAATTAACCCCCTGCTGAGAGTCAGAATAAGTATCTTAACAAAAAGAAAAGTCATTATCATAGAAAAAAAAACATCAATGGCAACATATATGACTTGGAAAGAAGAAATAACTAAGACCCATGAAGAATTTAAAAGAAAATCATATTTTTGAAATATATTTAAGGATTAAATTTTTTTCAAATTTTTGAATTTCCCGCCAGTTTAATTTGAAGGGGGAAAAACAAGATGGCTGCCATTTGATGTAAGAAATATCAGAAAAAAAGTTGCTTCACTTTTAGTTTTCACAATGAGCACAGTTTTACGTGTGTAACCTCACCAACACAATTGAAGTCTCAAAACTGGATGCTCAGTAACTTTGAGTGACTATAATCCCTTGATTACCCAGATAAACACCAATTCACTTATCCAGAAATGCCATTCAATGTCTATACAAAGAAAGTAAGCAATGTTTTGGAGGATATGTTTCAAACCTTTTGTATAAATAATTCATTTAATATTTGCCATTGATTTTTTTTTCAATTCTGACAAAGTGATATGCACTGTCTTTGATGCCAATATTCTTCATTAATTGTGATACAAATTGATATTTTTGTACTCTCAGAAGAAGGATAAGATATTGAAGTTTAATAATATGTGTGATTGAGTTGCTTTTTCAGACATTACAATTTTCAATTTTTTCTAAGTCGATACCCAGACTCATTCCCAGACTCATCCTTTGACATAGACCTACTTTTTGAAGGATATACTAGAATATATTATAGTATGTAATGTACATATCTTTTTTGTGTCAATCAAGTTTATTTACAAGATTTTGACACAAGTCTTGACACACAACTTAACTTGCAACATGTTGACATGAATCAATCTTTCTTTCTTTAACATATAACCAAACTTACAACATGTTGACATGAATCAATCTTTCTTTAACATATAACCAAACTTACAACATGTTGACATGAATCAATCTTTCTTTCTTTAACATATAACCGAACTAACAACATGTTGACATGAATCAATCTTTCTTTCTTTAACATAGAACTTACAACATGTTGACATGAATCAATCTTTCTTTCTTTAACATACAACTGAACTTACAACATGTTGACATGAATCAATCTTTCTTTCTTTAACATACAACTGAACTTACAACATGTTGACAGGAATCAATCTTTTTTTCTTTAACATAGAACTTACAACATGTTGACAGAAATCAATCTTTATTTCAGATGTTAATGACTGTAGTGATCAGTGCAAAAATGGAGCAACTTGCAAGGTAAATAAATTTGAAATTATCCTCTTTCAATCACATTTTCCTAGTTTTTCCTTATAGTAGTACATGTTTTATTTGTTCATTTCACCTGCTTTGTTTTAATGAGACACAAGGTTCACAATTAAGGCTACCAATATGTGTATACAGTCTATCTAACAATTCAAAACAATTCAAACAACTCAATACACCTAACATATATCGATACAAAATTCAGAATAAACAATAACCAATATCCCCATGCCCATATTGTTGATTTTTGGAGCCAGAACTGACTGAGTTCAATTGCTTCTTATCCTTTCCTACCATAGCCTCCAAACTTAAGTGGTAGTGGTGGACCAATGTAATATTGTGCCTTATACTGCTTGGGTAAACAGAACCATGCCTTTCTTATGCAGTCTTCACACAGGCATTTCCCTTCTCTTGCCATTTGAAAGGGTGTTTTAAGACCCTGAAATTCAGCGTTGAATACGATGAAAGTAATTATTATATAATATTATATTAATATAAGATTATGCTGTAACGCAGTCGGACAACAGTGGATGTAGAATCAGATCAAACTAGCAGGGCAAAAATTTCACGAGCTGAAGCTTCCCTTAGATACAAATTAATCAAACTAATCACATTTTAATCACATTAGTTTTGTTATTTAGGTCATTGGGTTAATTAACCATTATTTTATATTCATTACCTTTTCATATATGTGATAATTTATATGTAGATAATTTAGATTAATTGAAATTTTGATTTGAGTTCATGTTTATCAAAATAGAGCAATGAATCAAAGGCCTCCAGTTGCTTGTCACAATAAGATACCGCATTCGCCATAAAAAGCGCCCAGGGTGCTTTTGAAATTTAAATTCCCATTGTAACTTATTACAAAGAACACCCATGTATGAAAGAAGCCAAAATTCCCCGGGAATTTCAAGTATGTCACGTTTTCTTGCCAAGAATGCCTTATTTGCTACTTCAAAACGAAGTTACAGCATATTTTTACAATAATGATATGTGGAAAGAATATTGTAAAGATGGCTAAAATAAAGCAAGAATCTAATTACAGACAATATTGACAGTGATTGAAGAACTCCCCAGCAGAGCCCCTCGAAGTGAAGGATTTTTTTCAGTGATTGTCTTCAATGTATTTACTAGAGACTGTTAGATATTGATCTAAAGTTAAAATTTGATGACAGATCATCATTTTTCATGTAAAAGCTGAGAAATCTTAAAAAGGAACGAGTAAGTTCCTTCATTCATTCATTCAATTTCCTTCATTCATTATGGACTATTTTGAAATAATTTTAGTTTAGTCTGATGTGGGAAGCATCAAATGATAGATAGATAGTTATCAGGAGGATGCATCGAATTACAATATATGTCACGTTTTCATTTTTTCTGATATATTCATTAATACTTGGTTATTCCTCAATATTTCTTGAACTCTGTGAAGCGGGGTAGGCACTTATTAGAGATGGGCCCTTAATGGGGCGATTACAGTTTTGCAAAATATGTTTCTTATATTCAATTTGTGCTCTTTCACATAAAAGTTGTTTTGCCATTTTGCCCTTATTTGGGTTTTTAAGTCCCCAGTCTAAAGTGAACTCTGATATGACTAGTTTCCAAGGGTGAATATTAAGAAGTTCCAAAAATTTATAAGTGAATAGGTAATTAATAATAGGAATAAGTTCAGTAAAGACCCATATCAAAGTGGTCATATTGAAAGGTGTTCACATTATTTAGTAAGTTAAGAAAATATTGGAGGAAATACAATCTCCATTTGATAGGTTTTTAAAAGGCATTCACACGTTTTGAAGTGTTTGCTGCATTTGCCGTATTTTCATTAGAAATTAGAAAATAGATTTAATACCTTTGTATCTGGATCAATGAACATAAAATGACAACCGCAACATTGACGATTATGATGTGGACAAGCTGACATAAAAACTTGACATTTTAATCGAGGGCCTTCACAAAGCCCTTGAGGAGCAGTAGGCCTTGGAGTAGGCCTTGGAGTTGTTGGGCCAGGTGTGACAGGTTCGGGTACTATCACTGCTTTTGCTGTAGTTGTAGGTGGTGGAGTTATTTCTTCTACTTCACTCTCAGGGATAACTATAAACAAAATTCTCTCATGATTTTTGGCAGAACTGATGTTCGCGTTGATGGAAGTCTAGGAAGCCTGTAGTATATGTTATCAAAAATACCACAATATATTTCACTGTTTTCAAACCTCCATAAATTTATTTATTGGATAAAATATGTATTACCCACTTATTGATTATAATCATAGCAATGCTGTATTAAAAATATTTCTTTCTATGTTTGTGTAATACGTATTGAAATGATTTTGCAGGAATATTTTGCTATCATCTTCAGGCCCTCTAAAAATGAAATATTTGCTTTATGTTTGTATGTAGTACTCTTGTTTCCATATTCACTATTGCAACTTGCAAGTGAAGAGTAATGCAAGAATCTCACTAAAAATTCCTCAGTCACATGTGATATAATAAAATTGAATCTACTTTTCATTCTATTTTCTCGAAATATCTATTGCACTTCCACACTTATGAAAGATTCATAGATAAATAAAAAGATAACATATTTGTAATATCTTACCACAAATAGCGGTCATTAAAGGGGGAATTAATGGGGTCAGATCTGCAAATGATGACACATCAATCAGGTAGTTAGCGACTGGTTTACTTGCCAATGCCCTGAATTCTTTAGAGCCATCTATGTTGTTCTTGTTTGGCAGTGAGAGAACATAAACTGAGGCTCCTGTTACAATTCGTAGCTCTTTTGCAGCAGCTTTAGTTTTGGGTGCTGAAATGTGAATTATATGTGTGATAAATATGAGAATATGAAAGCATATATATGTAAATGTAGATAGAAACTTCTTTAAAAGTTACATGCCGTCGGTAAGAATATTGTATTGCATATGTGTATTGAATATTTATGAGGAATAGTTATTACCAATTAACCATTTTTAAAAAACTCCTCATTTCATAAATGCCCTCTTAATAAACATTATGTTTTACAAAGGTAATAAATTGAAGGCTAAATAATTTGAATGATAGTGAAGCAAGTATTAATAAAGTTCTTTAATTTCATGAATGACCTCCTAATGTACATAGAGGGTACATAAGTTATAAATTGAAGACCACAAATGATTTGAATGATAGTGCAAACAACTTATGATATTCATTTAACTAATAAAATTGGGCATTGTTTTTCAAAAGGGGGCTAAAATAAATTTTGAAAATAATAAGATTTTGAAGATATTTTTGGACCTCTCCTTGTCAGCCTCTGGGAGGGAGGTAGTCCCATATATTGGCTATATGGGGACGTGCCGCTAAAGTGAGTCACTTTTTCACCAAAAAATCCCTAGATGTGGATCCCATTCTGATGAAAAAATCCTTGGAACTTGGTCTGCTTTTTGAAAATCTTAAAACTGGGTATTGTTTTTGAAAAAAAAATCGCCAGAAGTAGGTCTTGTTTTTGAAAGAAAAACCCTAGATGTGGGTCCATTTTTAGAGAAAAAAATCCCTAGATATGGGAAGATATTTTGAATCTCAGCGGCACCCCCCTGCACCCCCCCCCCCCCCCCCGGGTCAGCCTCCTTGGCCATTTCTGGTATTTGAATCTTAAAAAAGTGGAATTACCTGCAGAAGCGGGAAATGTGGCTCCATCAGTAATAACCATCACTACTTTTAGAATATTTGGATTATGAGTCCTCAATCCATTTTCTTCTTTTAACATAACATTCATAGTATCTACCAAGGCTTTATCAGTACGTGTTCCACACCGTGGTCCCTTATTTGGTTCTATGTGCATGTCCATTTCTCGAACAACTTCGGCATACTCTTCGTTCTTTGTAAAACTATTCAGATATATTGGGTGATATGTGAATTTGTCAAACAAAACCATTCCAAGCTGAAATATAAATCAAACATTTAAAACGACCAAACAAATTGAATTTAACATAATCAAACCACAAATGAAATGATCATTATGATACAATTATCCCTTTATATATTTATTACTCTTAGTAAGCATGCAAGATGAAGTCTGCTTGACCTGTATTTGACTGTCATCAGTTCCAACATCGAGTACTCCCACAAAGTCCTCTAGGAAGTCCCTCATTAAAGTTTTATTTGGACTTGTAATACTACATGATATGTCTACAACTAATATCAAGTCAGCACCACATTCTAAAATAAATGAAAAACCATCAAAAATATACAAATGGTATTATACTTTTGCTTTTTGCACCTAATGTATCAATAAGACAATTGAAGTCTTGGAGGTTTTGCCATAATGCCATTTTTATTAATATATAGAAATACATCGTTAGTGAATGGATGTCTTCTCCTTGGTTACCTCGACTCTCATTTATTAGCTGTATACTCTTGACTATTTCAAATAATTTTGATGGAATCACAGTTTGGCCCATGTGCTTTTTTTTCAAAAAAATTATCGTTTTGATATATCATTGTTCTTATTTCATTATTCTACAATAAAATAAATATTCTTACCCTGTGCACCAGATTTTGTAAATGCCCAAGCAAATACCAATAGTCCAATATACATCTTAAGGTGCAAAGACATAATGCTAATTGAGCTAACAAAAACTTATTGTTTTTATTTTTACCTAATTTTTTTAGTCTTTCCTAGAGTAATATGTAAAAGGTCCAGGTTGTTCATATATAAATTAGACAATGTGTCCTTACATCCTTGAACTAAATGTATGATATCTGCCAATTAACACATATTTGTTTGGTCAATTTAACTACAAACTCTTTAACTACAAATTCTTTATTTATGATTGTTTTAATTTCATATTTATTTGGTCAGTCATAGTTCATGTATATCAATTATAAGTAAGTTGATTGGTTAAATAGATCTATGCAGCAATGTTTTCTCACATTTATGCATGTATGTATGTTTGGATTGTATGCATAAGGGTATGTATGAAATGTATGCATGGGGTACATATATGTACAAGGGGTGATCCAAAAGTCTTGGACACCCTGCTATAATTTTGTTGGTTTTTACTACTTTATGTATTAATTTCATGGAGAAATGATATAATTTATGTAGTTTCTAGATAGTTTTTAATATAGGGACCCTGCCACCCGGAACAGTCGCCATTTCACTTGTTTCGCAAGTCTCGACTACTATCTTTCTTTGAATTTTGAATGTTAAACCATGTAAGTTTACTTCCTTTGTTACTAGGCAACCAATAAATTGTTTTTTAATTATAATGTCACATATGACTATGGCTGTATATGTCAAATTCTAAGAAAAAAGCAACCCTCATTCTGGTATAATTTTTGCTGCAAGATAGCAACTGAATTGCAGAACATGAGAGAAATCAAAGTGAAACAAAGAATACTACAAGATATTCTCCCTATTATTGCAGATACCATATGCATGATACAGTCTAGGCATGGCTCCGTGTGATTTTTTTCCTTTCCTACACATACAAGTTGAAAGGAGGGTTGAAAGAAAATGTTTTTTTTACTCATTGGATGAGGTTTAGAGTGGCACTCAAACAGCATTTGTATCACATAAGCAATGGCGGTTTCATGAATGTCTTCCATTCATTGGTAGAGCGATATGAAAAACGTGTTCAAATTTGTGGAAAATATGTTGAAAAGTAGGTCTTAATATGTGATGATGATGATGGCAGATGACACTCAGATTGAAATCGGAAATTCTCTCATATCATGACTAGTGTTAGGTTGTGCACCTAAAGTATTTGCCATATTATAACAGTTGTGACTTGATTTGCTATATCTAAATACAGTTCCGGGTGGCATGGACCCAGTATGAAAAAATATCTAGAAAAGTAGCTAAAATATAATATTTTCTGTTAAAACTTATACAGAAAGTTGCTAAGATGTTGATCTTTATTATCTGAAAGTTTCATGTAATCATATTAGAAAATAGCAGAGTTAGAGTGGGGCATCCAAGACTTATGGGTCACCCCTCGTATATGGCTATGTACAGTACAGTGCATGGTATGTTTGTATGAATTGAATGCGTGGCTATGTTCAGTTGGATTTGTTGTATGTTTATATGAATTGTATGTATGGGGTTTGTATATGTGGCTATGTACAGTTAGATGCATGACAATCGACTGTAACATGCAGTGCACTAAAGCTGAACAAATGACACCCTATTCACTAGTCATTCAATAGTTGAATAGTAAACTCAAAAGAGATCAAATTTTAAATTGTACCTGGCCTGTTACATGCAGTGCACTGAAGCTGAACTAATTACACCCACTCACTTGTCAACACACTCACCTCAAAGTCAATACAAAAGAAATCAAATTTTCCTACAATTGGATCATCTGCCATTTACCTTTCATAAGAGTCAGTGTGGTGTTTAAGTTACATAAACCACTGGGTCTTAATATACTAATAGCCTTGGGCCAAGGCCCTCAACTAGTCTTCCTAAAACCCAAATATCCAAAGTTTATCTACTGTATAATAGAATGTCAGGGCCGTCAGATGGGGGGGTGCGATGGGTGCGACCGCACCCCCCTTTGTCACCCCCCAAAATAAATTTGAAAAAAAAATTTGAAAACAATTTTTTTTTTCATTGACTCATACACTTTGAAAGTACCCAGAAAGCACCAAATAGCATCTTAAAATTGTAAAATTCTCTAGGGGTATTGGCCACCCCCCACAAAACAATGGAAAAGTTCTAAATTTATTTTAGTGTTGTTTTGTCTCAGACACTTTTAAAGTGCCCAGACATCATCAAATAGCTCCTTGATATAGTTAGCGTTTCTGGGGGACTTGCTCCCCCTCTTGCATCTAGCACTTGCATAGACCCCTCCCCCTCTGGCAGCCCCCCCCCCCTTAACACCCCCACCCCAATTGACTAAAGTGCCGAGAAAGCACCAAATATAGCATCTTAAAATTGTAAAAAAAATTTGGGAAATAAGCACTTTTAGGCACAGACACTTTTAAAGTGCCCAAACTTCATCGAATAGCACCTTGATATTGTAAATTTTGATATGGGGGACAAACACTTGCTCCCCCTCTGGCACCCCCCCCCCCCCTTCTGGCACCCCCCCCCCCCTCCTTTGACACCCCCAAAATTTGAAAGAAATTGTGATTGTTTTTCAATGTTTTTATTGACTAATACACATTTTTAAATTGTAAAAATTTCTAGGAGAATTAGCACCCCTCACATCCCCCACAAAACAAAAGAAAATATTCTGAATTTCATGTATTGTCTCTATTGTATATTTTTTAAGTGCCCAGACATCATCAAATAGCACCTTGATATGGTCAATGTTTCTGGGGGACAACCCTTGTTCCCCTACTGGCACCACACCCCACTTCACCCTCTCATTCACTTTGACACCCCCAAAAGAATTTGAAAAAAATTCACATTTTTCTTATTGACTCATAACGCACAGGCGTACCAGATGGTTGCAAATTCGCTCCAAATACAACCAAATTTCAAAATTTTCCTGGGGGGGGAACCCCCAGACCCCCCTGAATGCTCAGTTTTTTATTCCCTCAACTCTTATTCCCGTGGTGGTGGCGTACTACTTGGAAACGTACACTTTGAACGTGCCCAGAAAGCACCAAATAGCATCTCAAAACTGTAAAATTTTCTAGGGGGAGTGGACCACTCCTCACATCCCCAACAAAACAATTGGAACGTTTGGAAGTTGCATTTGTTAATTCCAAACCAATATAGGGAGTAACTGAGCCCCCCCCCCCCTCTGACTTAAGCGATTTGATTTACGCGGCAAAAAATTGACAATTTCATATTCTCTTTAGTAAGCTAAAAACCGCACCCCCCTTGGAGAAAAGTGTCTTACGGGCCTGAACGTACCTTGCATTCTAGGCATTTGTCTTATGACCTTATACAGATTATGTTAAATGTTTGCAAATTACATAAGAAACCTTTTAGAAGCAGAAAGATATAGCATTTATAATATATATCATCATATGAACATGAAAATAGTGCTTCGAGGCTTAATTATACACTAGTATCACTAAATATAAAACACTATTATTGTCCACTTAGCCCCATCATATAATGGATTTAAAATTGATATTTGATTACTTCTATTGATTGGTGAATTATAAACTCAATTGTAATTTATTGCATTTTGAATGTTTGTTTTGTAAATATAATACATCCTAGTGATAGATATTGATTAAGAGATCTAGAAATCTCAAAGTATGACTAATCTAAAATCTAAAGTCTAATACAAAATACTTTTTTTAAAACAATGGATAGCATGAGTATTCCCTATGGGAAAATAACATGGGACATGTGGTTTTTAACTTTATCACATTTCAATACCCATCCCCATCCCATCAAAAGTTATTAATATAGTGTAGAAGAAACTTTTGATACATTTAAGTTGAGAAAAACAAGATCCCCTTTTAGAAAATAAGCCTTACATTTTTAAAAAGTGACAAGGTGGGGTCCTAATCCATAATTTTTCAGAGAGTTGGATTGGTATTTTACTATCATGGGGACTTCACCTTTAAGAAACCATATTCTTTAAATAAATACCATTGTAGTTATACCCAGAAAATACTCATGGTGAAATATATGACTGTCTAAAATCCCTTGCCATACTGCACATGGACCTTTAAGTTCTTTCTGTTTAATATCTTCATAATGATCATTATTAAAGTAGTACTCAGAAGACATACAAATTTGGGCTTTCTAGTTTAGCACAAAACATTTAGTTATTTTTCACCATCAATTTTTATTCAAGAAATATTAAGTTGATATCATATCAATTATTTGATGCAGAACACTAAGTCCATTTATCTAATTATTCTTCATTGTCCCTATTTCTATTTTTTCCTGATTTTCCAAAACCTCTGAATTTCTTCTTTGGTCCAAGGGCTAAATGCTTAAAATCATCGGGAAGACAGTATGCTGATTGGCGGATGCATTTCATGCAAAGACACGTTTTGTCAAATTTTGTTGCTTCCATTGGGAATGCCAAGCCACCCTGGAACATGAGTTAATATGAAATGTGTTACATTGTCATTTTAGATTGCATTAATTCCTCTTTGGAGTAATGATTAATTTTCAGATAATCAAATGAACAAAAAAACATTCTGATCTTGACCCTGTGTTTGTTTCTTATTTCTTTTTTATTAGGTTACTAACTATTAATGGACATCTTACCTTTTTCTTGCTTTTGCCCTTGCGTTTGAACATATAAGGGCATCCACAACATTCGCGTCTGCTGGGAGGGCATGCAGACATCCATATTCCACATTTTCTATGAAGTTTTTTATTAGCTGGATCTATAATGACATTGTTTGGGATGTGACAGAACTGTTGTTCTGGGACCAGGAGCCAGTTAAACACATGCAATTGATTCAGATGGAGAAATTTTTCTTACCTTTATAAAAAGTTCAAGGCTGACCCCAAAAATTCTTTTCTTGGGGTATTTATCATTTTATCATAGAATTCTAGGCTTATATTTCCAGCATTAGAGGGACTGATTGCCGAACTTAAAAATATGATATTGAATTAAGATGCATTTATTGAATATTTTTCAATATTAGGATAGGCCAGATTTGTGTTATTGGTTATACATGTATGCATTTATGCATTTATGTTCACAAACTTGATATTTACTACCACCCAGTGACTTTCTTGCCAAGGTATGCATTATGTTACTTTATCCTGCAAAATTATTCAGCTATATCATCAGATCAGACCAATTTAATATTGGTCTGATCTTTTTAGTATTCTGTTTCATTGTTTTAAATGTTATACATACCTTCACAAAACTCTCCACTAAATTGAATTGTTGTGGTTGGTGGTGGCGTTGTTGTAGTTTCATCTTCTGGGCTTGCTGCCACTATTGTAATAGGTTCTTCAGTAGTTGTTGGTTCAGGAGGTGGCAAAGGTGTATCAACAATAGGAGGAACTACATAGAACACAATCAATATGATTAAAGTTTGACCGGAATCGAAACAGTTTAAACATATGGAAATCTTTGATTTTAGAGCATCGCTTTACATTTGTATTGTAAAATTTCTTTGAAAATTAATAGCTGCAAAATCACAAAAACATGAAATATAATGGCGTCAAATGTTATTAGGAGTGCAGTAGTTCTTTCTCAGCAGAATACGAAACATGAATATGACTTAAGAGGATGAAAATAATATAATAAACTAAACTTACTACACATTTCAGTGAGGAGTGGTGGTATTTCAAACACTATCGCATCAAATGAACTCACAGTAATGAGAAACCGTTCAGTAGGTTTACTAGCTAAAGCAGTGAACTCAATTGTACCATCAATATTGTTTCTGTTTGGTAGAGACAACACAAACACAGAGGAGCCAGATTCTTTCTTCAGCTTAATAGCATTTCGAATTGTATTTGGAGCTGGAATTTGAAAGAATATCAAAAATTAATTATTTAAAGGCATTCAATTTAAAAAGGAAAACAGGAAAATATCCAAACAAGATGAAGTTTATCTATCTTCCTGAACATTCTATACCCTGTATTTAATATACAGTTATAAATGGGTGTTATTTTTTAATGTATCATATAGTACAATGATATGGCACACGGATTGGTATTTTTTACTTTTTGTAAATGAGACCTTTATCTACACTCTTTCAATAACAAATCTTAGACTGCACTCTCTTTTTAGCATCAAAACTGTATAATCATTTGTCCTTCTATGAGGCTAGAGGTTTACTGCTTGTTTCTGGGTTTCAGTGTAGTTAAAGGAATATATCTCATTGATACATTTTGGTTGTTTGGTTGTCTTAAAACTCACTCAGATATTGACAAGAAATGAATGTTGAGCTAGTACCTTTTTCTGGCGGATGTGTTGCGCCATCTGTTATGATTAATACTAGGGGGAATACAGATGGTTTATTTGAACGAAGCCCATTTTCTTCAGTCAATTGCACTTCGAGAGTTTCTCTTAAAGCAAGATCTGTTCTTGTTCCACACCTTGCTCTTTTCTAAGGTAGAAAAGCAAATATGAGACAAACAAGGAAGCGGTAAGTATTTAAAATTAACTAATACTCAGTTTTAACTCATTAATATTAATTACAGTACCAAATGAGTGCTTCAATAACAACTTCATTTCTCATAAACAGATATTCTATGACATGATTTGATTTGAATACTTTGACTAAATATAACTATGCTAATATGTTGATTCGAAATTAAAATAACTTTGAAGTAAATAACTACCTTGTTGTCTTGATGAATGTCCATATTTCTAACTTCTTCTATAATTTGGTTTTTATCACTGAAGGTGTTCAAGAAAAATGGATTATAGACAAATTTGTCAAAGAGCACCATCCCCAACTAAAACAAATAAAACAAAAAATATATTACAACATATTGAATTTTTATACATGTGATTTTGATGAGAGCAAAATATATACAATACCATAATAAATTGTTAGATATAATATTTTTGTGATAGCTTTATATTATGGAGAAGGAAAACACTTTAGCACTATTTTTTCAAATTACATGTAGCTACAAACCTGTAGTTCATCGTCTCCGGATCCTATGTTCAAAACTGATATGAATTCAATTAAGAAATTGTGCATGATTGTTTTGTTAGGTGGTGTAATACTGCATGATATGTCAACAACCATTACCATGTCAGCCCCACATGCTAAAAAAATTATCCAGACTATTATTAGTATTTTTGTATCACTACAATCATCAGTATTAGCATTAATTCATATTTACTGCATGTTAATGCATTGTTTTGGTTGAGAAGAGATTTTCAAGCTGGCCGCTGAATTTCAAAATGGCCACCAAATTTCGTAAAAAAACTAAGACTTTGATTATTCAAATACAAGTGAACAGATTTGCTTCAAATTTTATATGCTGATGCCCAGGGACAAAGGAGCTCTGCTTGAGTATAAACGTAATCTTTGATAAGTACTGGTGGACAGATCCAGTTCAAATTTTATATGCTGATGCCTAAAGATAAGGGAGGTCTGTTTGAGAATTTCAAGATGGCCGCTATTCATCAAAATGGCCACCATTTGTTGTTAAAGTTCTAGTTTAGGTGAAGAGTTTTATTTGACTGCATAATTATTTTGATTATTAAGATATTCCTCTTATCGTTTTCTTTATGTTATCATTTTGTTATTTGATATCAACCCAAATCAATTTACTATCCCATCAAACGAAGTAGGGAGGGATAGGGGAAGTGGTCCTAATTATCGCACGATTGTCCTAAATAGCCAAAATATGCACCAACCATCTTTTAAACCAGTGTTACGAGAAACAGTTCAACACCATTACTCCCAATCATATATTTAGAAATATCTCTTCATCTTTTAAGAATTGTTTACTTCCGCCATTGTCATAAATGCTTTTGCACAAGAAGTGAAATTTGTCTGACAAATTTTGACCCCCCTCCATAAGCCCATGCTCCATATAAAGACAGAAAAGTAAGTGTATAATGTATATTTTGTTGATATTTTACACTAAAACTGATAGAAAAATGATTATGTCTTATGTATGTATCTGTTATAAACAGAGAAATGTATACAGTATTGTGAAATGACATCTGAAACATAACTGCGATAATTAGGACCACTGTGCGATAATTAAGACCACATCACATGCGAGTCTAAGAGGTCTTAAAGTGTTAGTGTTCGGAGATTGAGAAATGTCAAACACTACTTAGATTTTAGACAAAAGGTTGATCTTTCGTCTCATATTTTCAAAGTAAGTTGAAGTTATCATATATGAAATCATCAGTAGTTTCCCTGAGTACCCGTGCGATGATAGGACGACTTTAAAAATGGTGGCCATTTTAGTGCAGATTTTACATAATTTAAGTACAATATATAAAACTGTTCATTTATTGTTCATATTTGGTATGTGAAAACTATAAGCATGGCACAATGTCTAATGACATTTTGGCACAATGTCTAATGACATTTTGGGTAGTAGGTCATTTTTACTTGTGTTATTTATTTAAATTTTTTTACTGTACATGTAACTCGAAAAGTATTGGAGCGATTTTGTTCATATTTGATATGTGAATACTATAAGCATGGCACACTTTGGGTAGTAGGCGGCCATTTTGAAAAATGGCCACCCTTTTTGCATCTGTTATTTTACATTTTTTACTGTAACTCAAAAAGTAATAGAGCGATTTTGTTCATATTTGATATGTAAATACTCATAAGCATGGCACACTGTCTTATGACATTTTGGGTAGTAGGTGGCCATTTTAGAAATTGGCCAACATTGGTGTGCCATTTTGATGAAGTTTTAGATGTAAGATTTAGCAATAAGCAATTTATAAATTATTTTCTATTGGTAGCATGTATTTTACATATTTTAATGCACCATTCAAAAGTTTGCGTGAGACCCCCCCCCCACGCAGGCATGGGTGGGTAATTTGACAAAAAATTTTTTGGCCTGTCTAATTCCTTAACCCCGGGGCCAAATAAATGTGTCAATTTCCCTACCCTTGGAGCAATAAATCTGGTCAAATATTTGCGACCCCGGGTCCTTTCACCATTTGAAATCTATTTTTAAATATCAGATTTTCTTGAAATGTTCGCTTACGATTTACATATAACCAATAGAGAAGCAGCTTTTTAAATGACGCAATTACCCGTGAAATTAAAAGCCAATGAGAATGTAGTCCATTTTATGACGATGTTTTTGCAAATTGCTTGAAAGTTTTGACAAAATGAGTCGAGAGTGACATGGTTTTACTCCTGGTTTGTATCTGTTCAACAAAATTGGACAACATACCTAAATTAAGATATTGGCTTTTTACTTTAATAGGTTACCTCCCTCCGTTTTATTCATATATATCAAATTTATTAAATCAAAATTTGTTCGAACTGAAATTTTTTTTCAAAAATTAATTTTAAATTAAATTAATCATTATCTATATTAAATCAAATATATTATGACGAGCTTATTAATATAAGTAGAACGCGGAAGTGCATTTTCCGAAGGGAGGGCGAAAAAAAGCTTGGCAAACCAATAATCAAGACACTGCTCAGTATTCTAGAATTCCTCTCTCCAGCGGTTAATCTCGGCGATTCCACCCCTGAAACTATACCCAACGTGTAAATGAGTTATTTTCTTCTGTTCCCGATATGAGCGATCATTAGTTCACTGAATATACCGATCATTTGCAAATTCCGAGAATCCTAAAGTATATACTGGACGAAACAGATTCAGTCAAAAATCCCCATTCCCGGGCAAATGTAAATCAAATTTCCCACCCCCGGGACGACAATCTTTGTCAAATTCCTACCCCTGGGGGCAATATTGTGGATCAAATTCCTTACCCTCCCCGCGTGGGGGGGTTTCACGCAAACTTTTGAATGGTGCATAATGAAGTGCATAAAGTTTACTTTAAAAAACTATTATGTCAACTAATTGATTATACTAAGATACAAGAAAATGAATAATAATTGAAATAATAAAGTAACTTACCCTGTCCTTTAACCTCTGTAATTGATGCATAAAATATCACTAAAATTGTGAATATTATTGGAAGAAAAGTATTATTTGACTTCATGATTTATTATTTTATAAGTTCAGATAATTTGATAAGTCCCTGTCCCTGCAGCAAAGTTACCTGCTCATAAAGCCTCTATTGTATCAACACATGCTTTCATTTTAATTAACCTTGGTTTCTAATTTGGTTATGTTTACTCAGTTGATGAATATACAGAAGCTAATTAATGCTATTATTTTTTTATATATAGATGGCCTAAAAAAATATTAAAGCTCATTGCCATTTTTGGTCCCTTTAAGTAATTACGGACTTCTCTATTGGAATTTCAATTGATAAATATGTGTAGAAGTGTGTCCCATGATCAATATGACATTACATTATTATTCCTTATAAAAAATATATTCATTTACTTGTTTCATACTGACCATCCAAAGTGGGTGTGTCATGAATGGGCCTTTAAGAAAACATACCTTGATCATAATTAATCATAACTTAACTCAAATTTACTTTTAATGTATTTTTAATTGATTGGATTGTTCAGGTTGCTCAGTGCAATAATATAATATACACTGTGACATTATACCTTAAATTAATGAATTATCTTTTCCGGTTGAAAATAAAGAAAAAATATATAGAGCCATCATAATTCTGTTCATTCAGTAATTCATTGATACATTAGGAGCTCTTTACCTGTATATATTTTTAGGATTTCTAATAAATAAACGTCTTATGTTTTTGAAAGGTGAAATTCATCAATATATCTAGGTAAAGGAAAATCTTTTTTTAATTGTTTTATTAATCAAGGATCCTTCCCACTCAACCACACTTTGCTGATTTTTAAACTGTGGTCTCTAAAAATGCATTAAAATAATAAATAAGTATACTGTACATACTTTGACTTCCACTTTGTGCACTTTTTAACTCACATGGTGAGCTATTGCAATCACTCACTTGTCTGTCTGTACGTCTGTCAACAATTGCCCAGTTTTAAAACCTCTTTCAATAGGATTCCCATTTTTGATTATTTTTGCTCAACATCAATAAAGAAATCCCCCTAAGACTCCTGGTTCAAAAACTTTTTCAAAATGAAATTCACTTTTGGCCCATTTAATAGCTTTACAAATAATTTCAGGTGTCCTGCATTGTAAAAAGCCATGTCACTGTAAAGAGTAGTTGTATGAAATAATTTTGTGATAAAAAATTGGCAAAAGTTACATCCATTTTTTTATTTTCTGCCATTTTAGCCATCATTCACATTTGAGCAACACCATGTGAGCCCATGCAGTACACACAGTACTATTAAGAAATATATACCAAACTAAAAGTAGATATCTTGTCCACTGTGTAGGATATCAATTTAGAGATGTTTATTTCATACTTGCTAGAGAATAAAAATCTGGATTGATTTTCTGGCTATTGTTTTTTCCATTTTAAGTACCATCAAGAAGTGGTGATATATGTTATATCAGCTTTTGTGACTGGCGGTCAGCATTCAATGTCTGTAACAAGTTGTTACTCTTTTGTAATCATTTGCCATAACTTACTTACCAAATGATAACATTATATGTCATTTTAAATACCTAGTTTATTACCAAATCCTCTCTTTTCACTCTGTTTTACATTATAAAACAAGATCATTGATCCAAATGTAATGCTGATTTATCTCCTGTATATTTCCAGGATCTTGTCCATGACTACCAATGCCTGTGTATGCCAGGTTTCATGGGGCACCATTGTGACATTGATATCGATGAGTGTGCCAGCAATCCATGCCAAAACAATGGCCAATGCCATGACCATATTGCAGGATATCAATGTATTTGTCCACGCGGATTCTCTGGACTTCAATGTCAGGTAGGTCATCAGTAGCCTTGGATTCAATTTCTTAATTTTATTTTAATTGTGACAATGATTTATTTTTCTTTAATAACATCTGGACTATATGTCCTGTCCAGTGTCAAGTTTTGTCAATGTTAATGAAGCAATCAGATTTATATATATGGCCTATATAAGATATATGTCACTTCAAAATTCCATGAAACTAATGAACGTAAATCGTACAATTATTCATTTGGGATTTTTTAAGAGGAATATTTATATTTTCTTGTACGTACTTTTAGGTGGACATTGACCTTTGTTCTCCAAACCCATGTAAGAATGGTGCAAGTTGCTTTAACATGGATGCTGATTACTACTGCTTTTGTATGGAGGGATTCGAGGGCAAGAATTGCTCTAACAGGAAAAATGGTCAAAATTTTGAAGGTAAATAGCCATCAGATATGCAATTTAACTCACCGCCAAAGGTGGTGACATATTGTTATAGTCTCCAACTTTTTTTGTGGATGGTGTTCGGCGTTTGGCAGTCGGTATCTGTATCAAAAGGCAGGTGGTGGCATTTTGCATGTAAATGTCTTGTGTATGTTCTGTTTGACATTAAGCTCAAAAAGAAAACATAAAACTTTTGGAGATTACTTGTTATATCTCATCATCTTTATTTCATGTTATTATGATATTTATCGCGTCTTTCCAGTTTAGACACACACGAATCACATGGCTGAGAAGAAATGAGATGTCACCTTTCAGTGTGTTTATCATAATGATTTAATACATAAATAGCATTCCTCCGTTGATATGAAACTGTTTGCGACAACATTTTCCCCGTTATGATAGTTTCCAATTTAAATGCCTCAAATAACCAATAAGAATGAAGTTTTTACTTAAAAAATATGTATTTTATTTCAGTCGTAGACAGTTGCACTATTTCTGTTGCCTCCAACGAATCTGATGGGGGCACTAAACTAGTGTCATCAAGTGTCTGTGGGAATCATGGGAGATGTCGCAGCAAGCCACGTGGTCTCTACTCTTGTTATTGTGACCCAGGATTTACTGGCACGTACTGTCATGAGAGTAAGTTGTATGTCTTGTTGAAATTATAAATTGTTAACATTGGCTTTACATTATATAAATGTTACCAATATGCAGTCCTTTATAATTCTCAAGTAGGCAATACTGTATATTGAGGGTAGTTACCACTTATTCTTCTAATGTTATACATTTATATGAAATAGTTGACCAATTAAAAATATATAATTTATGCCATTTTATAGGTGTAACCTTTGTTTTATACATTTCTCATGTGATTTACTTATTTCAGATGTAAATGACTGCAGCAGTTCACCCTGTCAGAATTCTGGGACATGTGTCGATGAAGTAAATTCGTTTCAGTGCATCTGCGCTGAAGGATGGGAGGGAGCTTTATGTAACTTAAGTAAGTTTATCAAAACACTAAGCCTTGCCAATATGAATGTTGTTTAGATCAGCTAAATGTTATCACATTGAGAGAAGTACCTACATGTAATCTACTTTCAAAAGTTTGGCAACATGAAATTTTCTATGATTGGACAATTTAAATTCAATATGTGAAAACTCAACAAATCACCTGACATATGTTGGTTATATAATTTATGGACTGTGTAAAAGCCAGTTCCTGTTTGGCAATTTTAAAATGTCATCACATTTCTGCACTAATGTAACTGAGGAAACAAATTCAAGCATAAACAAGCTATTCACTGGAATGTGAAAGTTATCATATATTTGCAAAGGAGTGTATTTCATGTTGAGATGGTGTCAACTTTTTCAAATAAGATGTTCAACTTATATATGATCACACACTCTGTTTTTGTGTTTTTTTCATGTATAGAGTAAGTGACATGTGTGCTTAGCCAAAACAAATTCCATTTACATGTAGTTGAGTGATATTCAGATTAGATTATGTGTTGCAGTATGATATTTCTTCAAATCTGATAAACCAATATTGGCTCAATAATTAAATTCATGCTTCCTGAACTAATTTACCTAATTACAATAATCACGAATTATTGATTGAAGATTACAACTTTATTTACCTTCTGTAAATATGAATATACATGACTCATCAGACCCATGTTATTTGCAGTCATTCATGTATAATTGAACCATGGATGGCATGTTCACGATTCGATTGTTTATTTTTTTAAAAATTTTAATAGCTGGTAACGAGACATAAGTTATTGGTACCTGTATATTGAAGCTAGCACTGCACATTCAAAATTATCTAACATCCAGTTAAATAATCATGAATGGAAATTTCACAAATAATTGAGGTACTAAAAGTTTTTTCCATGTCAGTGAAAATAGATCATCCAGATGAGAAAATACTCTGTTGAGTTAATATGTAAATGAGAAATGAATTTGTAAATAAGTAATGAATATGAAAATGAGTAATAAATTTGTAAACAAGTAATGAATGTGATGTTAAAATGAGTAACGAATCTAAAAATAAGTAATGAATGTGAAAATGAGTAATGAATGTGCAAATAAGTTATACTTATATTTTTAATAACTTGATAATCATGACATATCACTGACAGTGAGTGCATATATGAGAATAGCGAAAAATAAAAAAAAATTCCTGCTTTTTCAGATAAAAACGACTGTTCCCCAAACCCTTGTCGCAATAATGGGTCATGTACGGACCATATAGCTGATTTTACCTGCAGTTGTAGAGGACCTTGGAAAGGCAAGACTTGCAGCTTACGTAAGTGACTCATTTTATTTTGTTGTATTAAAATGAACCTGGTGAGCTTTTGCAATCACTCACTTGTTTATTATTGCCTTGGGGTCACCTTAGTCTTAGATCAAATATTGCCTCATGTGTCAGTGGCTATGAATTATTTGACTGTTCAAAATGGGTCAAGGGTGTTTAATGCATGCAGCACTGGATCTCAAGGTTAAGATCATGTAGTTTGTCATGTATCCACTATAATTATTCATAATTTCCAATCAATTAACTTCCACACATGTAATAATAAGTGAAATATACATGTACACAATAAACATCATTCACCTTTATTAATGTCTTTGGTGTTCAGTTACTGTATTGATATAACATGTGTATAACATAAACTACCTAATCACAGTTTACACATTTATTTTCTTGTATTTTCTAGGGTATAGTCATTGTGACAGTACAACCTGTGCTAATGGGGGAACATGTACTGACCTTGGTACAACATTTGCATGTAAATGCCTACCAGAATGGGATGGGAATACGTGTCAGCTAGGTGTGTAAAATCTCTTGATATCATCATGTCCAGTTGTTTATGAGCAGTTATGAAATTATATTGTGAATAATGGAATTATAGAGATGTGTCTTTTAGATTATTATTGTTGAGAAAATTGTGTGGCTGAATTTAACCACGTTTTGGGACAGAGATGAATTTTACATGTTGATCATATCACATGTTATCATATCATTAACGTTATGATTTTAGCAAAAAACTACACATGCGACTCATCACCTTGCCAGAACTCTGGGACGTGCATAAATAGTGGAGATAGTTTCACATGCATTTGTAAGGAAGGATTCACGGGTGCTATGTGTGAAGAAAATATAAATGACTGTAATCCATACCCTTGGTAGGTTGAAAATTAAAATTGATTAGTTTTAAATAATTAAGTAAAATTTTAGTATAATTTTGGATGGTTTTCCAGATTGCTCGTAAATATACTGCAGTTAAAATTACTTAGGAGTAACTATTTAATTGCCTTTTTGTTATGTTATTTTATTTACCATCTACAAGATGAGTACATATACATAAATAACTTTGTATCTTGCTCATAATTTTTGTATCATATTTCAATCATCCAATTTCAGCTATAATGGAGGAACATGTATAGATGGCGTTAACTGGTATCTTTGTAAATGTCCCACTGGATTCGCTGGACCCGATTGTCGGCATAACCTTAATGAATGTTATACAAAACCATGTAGTTATGGAAGCACTTGCCTAGATGGCATTGGGAAATTTCAGTGTATTTGTCCCCGTGGTAGAAGTGGACCCAGGTGTGACCAAGGTAAGGAGATCGATAAATGGAAGCTCGACAATTATTGCTACATACAGTGTATCCAGTAAGATATTATGAACTTGTTGCAGGGATATTATTGTTCTGACAAAGAACACATTGGTTTGTCAATTATGTATATATATAATTGAATATCATGGTTACCCTAGGGGTATAATGATGTAAAATTGTAAACCCCAGGCTAAATAAAATGATTTTAAAAAATATATACTGTACGTGCATATTGTTTGACATATATTTCTAATTGAACTGCAAACATGTTAATAACCATTGTCAACAATACTGACGCCCATTCTGGCCTGCTTCATTGATTCTCAAAATATCAGATTCAAATCTATATTTTATGAGGCATTTGACAATCTAATTATTAATAACTATTATATTAATAACTATTATGAATTGACTGAATCCCTGGTCATGGCTGTAATCACTGGATAAACATATTGATCAATTAACTGTCCTCTTAATTCATTCATCAATGCAACTTATTTTTGGAGGAACATGGGGAACTGCCATATTTTGATATAATTTTATTCAGTCAAACTCAGGCAGCAAGTCAGTCTTTATCATGTCTGACAAATCAAACTGTTGAGAAGACTGCCACAGGTTTTCTCCATTTATTGTTTCAATTTTGAATGAGTTGTATTACTGTTTTACATGTTTAAGTTGACCCAGAAGTCTTCATTGCAACTTTTAATTTTCATTTATATTAATACTTAATTGACAGGGCCAATAATACATTGCCTCAGCCCTACACTTACTGTAGCTGTGTATGTTTGATATGCATCGATTACTATGATGATAAAAAATCTTTAACCCTTAAAACTCTCAAATGAAATATGCATTTTTGTTTTAGTAATTGGGGTATCGCCTGCACCGTTGCCATGTACATTTCAACGCCGTTTCTATAACGACCAGTCATCGTGGCAACATGAATGCAATTCATGTCAGTGTAACAATGGAAAGGTCCAGTGTACAAAGGTAAATGCATACCTGACATATAATATCGATAATGCACTCATGACATCCTGTCTATATTGGAAACACTAAAAAGTGAGAGAAGTTGCTTTAAAAAGAGTAAAAGTTTAACTCATGGAAGTACAGTACATGTAGTTTGTCTATTTATGATGCATGTGCTGGCCCTTTATATTGGTGAATTTACATGAGAAGACCTCGGTGTCCCCAATGCCAGGGTTAGTCTCATTAATATGAGTGACACTAATGATGTCACTTCAACCTGCAATCATTAGCTCTAATTATGAAGGTATTCATCATTATTGTTTACCATCACTGTTGCACAACTAGTTACTTTGATGGAACGTCAATGTAACAAGATGGCTCAACTTCCGGTGTTCAAGATTTTTGTTTTCTCGATTTAAACCTACTTATAAGTCAAGTCGCAGATTTTAAATCGGCACAATGTTAGACGATGTATCTTGGCTTTAAAAATGTCTTCGGTTTGAAGTTTACCGTTTAAACGAAGAAGTTATAATACATTTAGTCACTCGCTTTTGTTACATTGACGTAAGACCAATGTTACTAAGACGAATTCATGATTTTTAGCTTAAGTTTTTTTTTTTTTTTTAAGGTTAAGTTTTATTTCTTTGCATAATTTTATATAACAATATTTAACATACTAGGAAGGCCGAGGTAAAATTACATTGTTGGCCTCCCTATTAAATAAAAGTAGCAAAATAAAGTTGATATAAATGGTTTCAAACATGTATTGTAAATGTATTGTTTATAAGAGTCTCAGTGGCCACAGTTGAGATGATGATAACAATAGTGATGATGATGGTGATGAAATGTTGAGGCTAATGCTAAATGATAGAATCAACAAAATTTGCCGTAAGGTTCATAATATCAGCATTACATTTATCTGAGAACTTATGATCTCCAAAAAGTATGGTGTGGACTTTATCTACACTATTTAGACTGGCAAATTCTTTAAAGTTAAAATTTTGCAGCTCTTGTAGTTTTTGGGTAAAGATTGACCTTGTTCCAGTTGATAGAGGGCAGTAAAGTAATAAATGGGACTTGGTTTGCTGGGCATGTCCACAAGGGCAACTTGGGTCTGGATAGTTGTTGAAATTATGCCTAAAAAAGTCTGATTTAAGTGCTAGGTCTGCTCTTAAACGGTTTAGTTTAATTTCAATAGATCGATTTAAGTTCAATTTTGTTGTCAACACAGACCTAGGGTTTTGGTTATATTTGGTTTTCTTATACCTTGACTTGAAGGCTGATATTGAGGGGCTGCGTTTAACTTCAGGTGAAATCATTTTCCATATTCTTATTGGTGCTATGGCAGGAGAGTTTGTAAATTTCATTGAAGATTTTGCTGGAATATTATATTCGTGCTGGGCATGAAGTACACGCTCTGTACCTGGATTTTTAAGTTCATTGTATATAGATTGTACGTAACTAGGAGTCTTGTTTTTGGATACCTTATACATTAGAGTTGCCATTTTTTCTTCTCTTCTCTGACTTAGTGTCTTCCAGTTAAGTGAATTTAAGACTTTGATTTCAGAGGAGCCCTTAATGGCCCCAGAGACTAACAAGGCAGCTCTGTAGTGTAACCTATCCAAGGTATTTAGGGTATAATGTGGTGAACAATTATAAAAGATTGATCCGAATTCTAATTTTGGCAAAATGAACGATAAGTACATTCTTTCAAGGTGTTTGGATGAAATTTTATTTTTCAATGCTGTAAGTGGATTTAGCATTTTATCAATTTTGACTTTTAGCTGGGCTATATGTTCTTTGAAGTCAAGGTGGTTATCTAAGATAACTCCAAGATGTTTATGATAATTTACTCTTTCAATTATTCTGTTGCTCAAGGTCAAAATAGGAAAGTTTCTTACATTTTGAATAGATTTGGAAAAAATTATCTCTTTGGTTTTCGTGGGCTTAAAGTTAAGCCCCCAAACCCTTGACCAGTCATAGACATTGTCTAGATCATGTTGTAGTAATGTATTTGATGTTAAAACATTTTATAAGTTGTGAACGGGGACATATATAGAAGTATCGTCAGCATAAATATAACATTTTGATTGGATGACCTCTGGGAGATCATTTATAAATAGCAGAAATAGGATGGGGCCTAGAATAGCTTATGTTACTTTGACGTATCAGTTTTACATGTGTTACATTGACGTATCTTCATGGCAATTATATTCACATACGCCATGTATATTCTAGGGAGTCTTGGCAGCCAGGATGATACATTCACTGGTTCTTTGAGTGACTCCCATATCTTGAAAAGATGGGTATCGATATGGTGAACTTTTTGAACCCACGTTTCTCTTAAACCTGTCATCAAAAAATTCTGAAAATTTTACACATTGTCAATTTAATGGTCATCTTTTGAAAGGTAACAATATAATTGGAAAATATATATATAATTTCATCTATATTGTTTTAGAAAACACATCAAACACTTGTTTTGTTCTTGATATCATGTTTCCAGAGTGAAATGAAACAACTTTCCGAACCTCATTGGAACAAAACGACATAAACACAACATGTTCACAACATTATCTGTCAAAGTAACCATGTGTCTGAGTCAAAGTAACATTGGTAATATAATGGTCTTACGTCAATGTAACAAAAGCAAGTGACTAAATGAATGAATAACTGCTTCGTTTAAAGAATAAGTTCAAAACCGAAGGCATTTTCCAAAGCCTTGTTATATATCGTCTAACGTTGTGCCAAATTATAAACTGCGACTTGACTTATAAGTAGGTTTAAATCGAGAAAACAAAAAATCTTACCGAAATCGAACTCCGGAAGTTGAGCCATCTTGTTACATTGACATTCCGTCAAAGTAACTAGTTGTGGAACAGTGATCATAGTGAAAGGTCACGATGCATTTGTGCGGTCAGAATGTTATGAAAAGTCAAGGCCCTTACAAGCATGATCTCATCACTAACATGTTAGAATTATGGTATACTGTATTTTTATCTCCGTATGTGAGGTGTGTAGGGCGGGGGAGCAAGTATTTGAAGCAAGACTATATGACCATATTCATGCATGTCTTTGTTAAAATGGTAGTAATTTTTTTAGTTATAAAGGGAAGGAGGTTCAACTTATTACTGAAATCCTCTTTGCCATTGTATTAGGATTTCATTTGCATGTACCCTCCTTTTACATGATTCAATACAAACAAAATCCAGCATTTTCTGATGAAATATTATACCACACTGTATTGCTCTATGGTAAATGCAAAACAAGTAAAACATAGAAATACTTATTAAAAACTTATGATGATTTATTTTCAGATATGGTGCGGACCGAAAAACTGCCTCTCTCACCCAAACATTTCAGAGCCAGTAGAAATCTGTATTCCAGGACAAACTTGTGTCGTTCAGACACACCAGACATGCTTCACACCACCTTGTCTCCCCTGGGGCCAATGTAAGGCTCTAGACAGAATCACAGATCCCGTGCCTTATGGGATTGATACAACCTGCATTCCCAATAATGACATCACACCCAACAGTTGCGCAAAAATAACACTGATTTTTGATAAATCTAAAATGCCAACAGTAAGTCAATATTGATTTTTTTCATTTTATTTTGAATCAAGAAGATAAGGATGTTTTCATATTACAGCGTTGAAATTGTTTTTGAATATCATTAAAGGAGGGTTTTATAATTGATGATGTGTCTGAGTTTACAATTGAATACATATTAAGTGGAAATCAAATTGATAAACATCATTGATTTATACATTCTCAGGTCATAAGGGCAGATCATTACGACTTAGAACCATAATCTTTTTACCATCAAAGTAACTCTTGTGTCAAGTCTCTGAACTCTCCCACCCTTTACCTTTTTCACTTCTTTGGAGGTGAGGTGTTTTCGGGGATGGGTGAATTACAAGGACTTGTAGCAGAACTACAAGACCAGAATATTAAAATGGAAATATCTGGACTCAAACCAATTGTTTCAATTGCTCGATTCACTTACATGATATGCATGTATTTTGTTAACTCCTCTCTCTTGCTATTTTCATTTTGTATGAACAAGAATTAAAGATTAAAATAAGAGATTAAAACATGTTTGAATTAACCACATCTACCAAAACAGATTTGTTTCAAAAGCATACCAAGAATAGCTGTTTCAGTCATGTACGACGTCAGTGTGCCACCACCTGTTACTCAAAGCTGAACAATTGAGACTGGAAGTGAGATAATTGGAGAGGGCAAAATAGGGGCTTGATGCAGACTTAAGTTTGAAAAAAGTGCTCACATTAAAATTTCATATTTATTTTTTCCAAGCAGTTATGCATTATAAGATTATTGTGTACATGTTTATTAGGGCATCTCGGTGGAAGCGATTTGTGATCATCTCCGAGAGCTACCAGTGCTGCACTCTATGCTACATCAAGACGAACTAATAATCCTGTGTGATCGCCAAACAGGCCACTCTGATACAATAGAAGTTACTTTGGTAAGCTCCAATATATGATATACGAATCAATAATTTTACTTAGTTGAACTACTGTTGATTTGAGGAAATAGATCATGTCTACACAACAATGTTAAAGGTTGTTTTTATACCTGTAGCTATTCACTAGTGGTCCCATTGTTCTCCTTATGAGTTCACTGACACCAAGGCTGCGTTTTTGAACTGCCCCGGCGCAAGTCATTTGCATAATATTTAATATGATTTCTCCCTGGGTATCAAGAAAAATACAATAAACTCTGCTGTGCAATTATAAATTACATGGTCACAAGTTTTCAATAAAAACAGCTCATCCAAGCGCACCTACACTCACATAATTCTTTTGAAAGACACCCTTGGTTTATTAAGCAGTGTTAGTGCGCTTGGATGGATGAGCTGTTTTTGTTGAAAACATGTGACCATGCTATTCGCTCCATAGGGCTTAGTGATCATTTTCGTGATATCTGGTTAGAAAACTCATATAAATATTACACAATTGGCTTGCGCCACAGGCATTCAAAACGCAGCCCAAATCAAGCAAAATATAAAGACATACCAGTAATCCCAAAAATATAGGATAATGTAAGAGATGAATAACAATAATGGTTAATATAGCACATCAATACCTCATCAATTAATTCAGCACATTAAACATACTAAAATGAATAATGTATATGTTATATGGTATATGTATGCACATATTTATATGATTGTTTCAGCCTATAATGCCATCTTATTATAGACTTATTTTTATTCATTGAAAAGCTATTTTTTCAGTCGACCAAAACAACAGTTGTAGCAACATCTACAGAGGCAGAAGAAGAGGATACCAAGCCACGGACATATCTAATGACCACTGTTGACAAATTATCAAACTACATCAGTCGCAAACTCAGCAATAGTAGCGCACTAGCTGCTGTAATAGAAGTTAAGGTTGAAACTACATATATGAATACTACTGTGCATCATGGTAAGTACATTCGTACAAATGAAATATACACTTTCTTTGAACTATAAATGTTTCAATGGATATCATTCATCCTTGTTGATATCAATGAAATTATTTGAAAGATATATTTATTACATCATATGATATGTCATAAAAGTAATAAAACAAATGAGAAAATGTTGAAATCAACATGACCCATACCATATTCAACACGACCCATACCAGGCACACACCAGATTTGACATAACCAATACCGGATTTGACAGGACTCATACCACATTTGACATGACCCATACCATATTTGACTTGACCAATACCAGATTTAACATGACTCATACCATATTTGACATGACATATACCATATTTAATGTGACCCGTACCATATTCAACATGACCCATACCAGATTTGACATGACCCATACTATATTTGACATGACCAATACCAGATTTAACATGACCCATACCATATTTGACATGACCCGTACCAGATTTGACATGACCCATACCAGATTTGACATGACCCATACTATATTTGACATGTCATATACCAGATTTAAAATGACCCATACCATATTTGACATGACCCATACTATATTTGACATGACAAATACCAGATTTAACATGACCCATACCATATTTGACTTGACCAATACCAGATTTAACATGACTCATACCATATTTGACATGACATATACTATATTTAATGTGACCCGTACCATATTCAACATGACCCATACCAGATTTGACATGACCCATACTATATTTGACATGACAAATACCAGATTTAACATGACTCATACCATATTTGACATGACCCATACTATATTTGACATGACATATTCTATATTTGACATGACCAATACCAGATTAGTATTTGATGTATTGTGTAAATTACATATTTTTTCTTGGAAGATTCTGTACTAAATTAATTAAATTAACTAAATTTTCAGGTGCATCTTATTTGATTCCACTCTTGTGTTCAATAATGGGAATCCTAGGTCTCATTGCGATCATCATCATCATCCTATATCACAATAGGCGGAGACGCAAAAGGCCACATCGTGAACGTGGAGTCCATATTCGTATTGAAGAACAAAATAATAAACTTGAAAATGTAGAAAATGAAGAAAATCTACGCCGCTACAGAAATCCATTGTTTGGAACAGATAAAGGTGGAGGGACACTGAAACAGAGTAGCCAGGAATTGATCGAGATTGACTTAGAAAAATATGAAAAAAGTCCCTGTAGGAGGGCCCTGGGACAAAAAGATACAAACAATGATGCATCTAAAAATAATCCTCCAATGAAATTACCAAGAACTCCTAAAAATATAAATGTTGAGTTGTCAAGAACACTTACAGACAGAGATGAACGAGATTTAATCGCGTAGCGTCTACATTGTGTACAGTGCTCGTAATATTGAGCAGTATTTATTATTTTCATCAACATATTTATGCAACTTGTGTTAAAAACACAAGCTGTATGGAAAATCACCATACATGGAGGAATATAATAAAAGAGGGCAGCACAAAACAAATGGCTGAGTTTGGATCAGGGATAGATGCAAATCATATCCTACCCTGACAATATATGTTATAGGTAATGTTAACCTATTGACTTTCAATGAAAACTTATATGGATGGACCTAGTCCCAACATTTCAGTATTTTTAGTTATCCAGTATGTTAGTTTTGTATATTTTTTTATTTGATTTTTAGTTTGATTTTCAGTGATTGTCCATTAATTGTCTATTCGATTTATTCATCATAAGTGAATATAGTCTTCAATTGAAACTCATTTTGTACATGTTTTCATACGCCACCTATACTTAAAATATCACAATGGCCATGTTAATTCACTAAATCCCCACAATTTGTATTAAATGTATGATTTTTCTGTGGAAGTGAGTATTTCATACATTTTAGATCCAATTTTCTATTCCTTTCCTCTTGTCAATTTATATTCTTACACATCGCCATTGTGAGATTTTACTTATAGCCAATCTCCGCTCATTATGAAAATTGCAGGGAATTTTAGTTGAATTTTTATCAACATTATTAGAATATTGGTGTAAATAATTCTTCCGAATTGTACATGTATTATATTAAAAATGGTCATTTATTTTTATTTGATGCTATGTGTACAACTGTAATGTTGGATGTTCCTGTTTTTATGTCACCACCAGAAGTGGTGACATTGTTATCGCCTCCAACTTTTTTATACCTGGTCGTTGGTGTTCGGCATTTGGCGGTTGATGTTCAGCAGTTGGTGTCTGTAACAAATGGCAGCAGGTGGTGACATTTTGCATTTTAATGCCTTGTTTGTAAATATTGTCCTCCATTGATAGGGACAATGCATGAATGTCTTAGGAAATCCAGTTGTTAAATTCAATTGATGATTCAGCCAGAAAAAGAAAGTTATAACTAATAATGCTTTTAGGCAATCGTAAAGAAGTTTGTTGGTTGATTATAAAGAAGTTATTCGATTGGGCAATTGTAAAAATGAGTTTTCTTATTGGGTAGAGAAGTTATGTTGGGCAAGTCTATTTGGTAAATATCAAGAAGTAATTGTGCTTGGTTATGAATTTCACTCAGAATTACTTTAAACACTTCTCACATTGTAGGATGTACTGTGACTTGTTTGAACAATTGAATTAGCCCTCTGAAATGTTTCCTTGTAAATGTAATATCACCTTTTGTATACAGAGCTTGTGATGTTGGACTGGTAAGGTTTATAAGCAGGGTGTTAGAGTTTAAAGGTCAATTTTGAATTTATCTTATCCATAACCAAATAAATGCTAAAAGGAATGGTTTAAAGAAATAATAAAAATACTTGATATCAGACAGTCTCTACTAGGAAAGTTCTTGATTATTCAAAATTTAAATTTACTGCTGAACCAGTCTAGTGTTGAAGCCCATCCTTCAAGATCGGGAATCACTGTCCCAGCTTATGGGATAATTGAAATATAATGTACCCTTGGACCAAGGATGGTTAAGCCCTAGCCCTACCAGTTGATAAAAAATTACAAACTATGTCTACCAGTGGTGTGTATGATAGATATAGCTACTTATTACTTTATTAATACACCATAAATGGCATTTATATATCATGTAATACAAAATATAAAACTGAGAATCACTGCAGCGTAGTGCATGGAATTTCAAAAATCTGTGCACTATAAATACAGAAAACTGAGATGTAAATAATGTACATAAAAATTACATGTTTTGTGTATATTTCTATGAAAAATGTATGTATTAAAGTACATTTATTATACAAGTGATTGATGTACAGTGTTCACGTGGAATAAGGTTCCTGTACCATTATACATAAGGTGTCTCACAAATTTATTTTTTATTTTATTTGTAAGCATACAAAGGGTGTCTCATACATGTATTATTAGTGCAAATTGTTTGATACTGATTGTAATTTAAAAGTCACAACGAAGAAATGAAATGCTCACTTTGTCACTCTATGGTGTAATGCAACATATATATTATATAAGGCCTATAGTCACTTTGTCACTCTATGGTGTAATGCAACATATATATTATATAAGGCCCATAGTCACTATTCTTGATATGTCACCAATGGATTATTTGGATAATTTAAAGTTTCATACAAATGCTACAATTTATATTGTATGGTATAAAATTATTTTAATTTGATATCTGTATTTGATTGTATGATCATTTTTTCTGTGTAATATTGAAAAAGTGCTTGAATTTCTTGCCTTTTGGTACATATGATATTTACTATTTATTGTTTGGATTTCACCTGTGAAATTAGGATATGCAAGATAAATCATGATGTATCATCATACAATATGACATTTTCAGGTTATTTACATTTAATGCATCTTCATGACTTATATGACAAATACACTACATGTATTTATTAAAATCTAATGATGGATTTGTAAAATAAATCATCATATTGCATCAAATGTGTGTAAAGTCGAATTATTTATGAAAAATAACTATTATTAATTTATTAAAAATAATTATTTATAGTCACATTATTTATTAATTTATTAGGTAATAATATAGCGTAAATTATTGAAGTACATGTAAAATGTATGTCAATATACAATGTATGTATGCTATACATGTACAATGTATGTTCATAAACAGTTTATATACATGTACAGTATGTGAGACGGAATATTAGCATGAAAGGAATATGTATAATGAGACATTTCAAAATTACTGACTTTCTTTGATTGATCAAAATATTATGATGCACTAGAATTATATGGTCACAATTTCTGGTAAACAAGAGCAGCATAATAAGGATATGCTATCAATGTCTAATGAGGCCATGACACAATGGGCAGCGCAGCAAGGGCATTATATGTATGTCTGGCAAGGGCCTTATGCGATGAATATGGTACACTTGCATCACACATAATGAATAAATAAATAAGGTTTCTTATAACTTATGTTGAAATTTAACATTTTGATGTGAGAAAACCATGATTTAAACTAATATAGAAATATGATGCTCTTGCTTAGCCCCGGAAACTCAAAATTCTGACTTTTCCGTGCAATATTTAATGAGGAGCTTAAGGAAGGCAAAGTGGAGTGCTGATGTCATGCACAAACAGGTCTCAATTTCATCCCACTTTGCCTACCTAAAGTTTCACCTACGAATGACAATGGGTGACCTTCCCAGCATTCTCATTTTTATTACATTCTGACTGAATTTAAGAAAATCTGACCAGTTCAACATATCATCCTCATGTGACCTTATACATGTAATGTGCAATTTTCAGGAGAGTCTGCAATACTGGAAATGTTTAAGTTTTGAGTACAGGGAGTAGAGTACAGTGTAACTTGTCTATGTGAAAAACACTCTTAATTAAGCAACACCCCCAAATAAGGTGTTTTGCGAAGGTGTTTTCCCAATCTCAGCAGTGTTTACTTCAGATGGGTTCCACTGTATAAATGAATATTTTTCCAAGAATTCTCTGTAACGATACCTCACATTGGGAGGGGAGACTATCAGGCATTCAAAAGTTCCCGATAGAACATGATACTGATGGACCCCTTTTAATATGAAAATGCTATATTTGCTATGGATATGATGTAAAAGCACCAGTTTTGCAGCTTGATGTTTGTGTTTGTATGTTGTAGCAAATCAAGGATGCAATACTCTGAAATATTACATCTATTTCTATTTTTGCAAAGCTGAAGAAATATTTTAAAGAGTACTTTTTCATATTTGAGCACAATCCTTAGCCTGATTCCTCAGATTTGTGGGCAGTAAAATAAGTTCTTCAGATTTCAAAAAATGGAATTAAGACACAAGTTAACAGTGAGCCTTATATCGTGAAGATTTGGAAAATGATTCCATTGAAGAAGTTTCAAATAAATGATTATTTAAAATACATGGTTGTCGTTGTAATTTTATTATGCAGTTTTTTATTTATTTGTACTACAGGGTAATACACCAAAGATCACACAAAACTAAATGCAGGCTGGTTTAGACTAGGATCATATAAAATAAAAGCCTCTGGAAAGTGAGAGTACTTATGTAAACGAACAGGCAAGAGATCAAAATATGCGCATCATGCAGATTTGAAAACAACACCTTAGAGGAATAATTCAGCACAAAGTGCATTGAGTCCAGAGCTTAAATTCTTTAATTATCATTAAATTCTAAACACCAAAATGACTTTAACCAACAGAAACAAATAATATAATAAAACCTGTCATTCTCTTAACAGCCATTCTCCGTTAAAGGAACATTCCTGGCCAAACCTTTTCTATCCTGATGTGATAGCTATAATCATATATATACTTTCCATATTTAGCAAAACATGGGGAAATGTTTTAATATAGTCAATATTGATAATTTAAAAATGTAGTGCTCATTTCCAGTAAGCTGCCATCTTTTAAGATTTTACTCAGGAAGTGATGTCATCGACTCTCAACTTTCATGACCTTGTATATAACAGTATAGGAAAATAGCACAATATCACTTCTAGACAAGTGATCCTTACTTTATGCGCAAAAATATGTTCAAAGCTTGTCAGCTTAGAATAAAAGAAGAGACTTTTAGAAGGATTAAATCATAGACAAAATTGAAAAAGAATATTCAGCTGGTTTTGTAATTCTTAAAATAGCTCCTTATAGTGTTATATGCAAAGTTGAGAGTCGATGACATCACTTCCTGAGTGAAATATTAAAAGATGGCAGCCTACTGGAATTCGGCACTACATTTTCAAGTGATCGATATTGACCATATCAAAACATTTTTCCCTGTTTTGCTAAATATGGAAAGTACATATATGCTTATATAGCTACCATATTAGGAGAGAAATGGTCTGGCCAGGAATATTCCTTTAAGCGTGAAAAATGGTGTATCTGCTTTTCCTACAGTAATGATGTAAATCAAAATATATGCACTTTTATGGTATAAATGACATTTTTATCAACAATTATGATATGGCAGTAAAATTAAATACATATTACATGTGTACCATATTGTGTTACTGCCTGAGAGGTGCCTGGAGTATATGGGGGTATCCAAAATGGCCTGTCATCAAAGTTATAAGTGAAGATAGGTTTCAATGGCGTAGCCAGGATTTGGTGACCATGTGTTCTATTTTTTATATCATTCACAAATCCCCCTCTTCATTAAGGTTCTTCACATAAACACATTTTTGTATTAATACACACAATTAACACTACCTCCAAAAGTTTGGGAGCCCTACCCCCCCCCCCCCCCCCCCCCCCCACCACCACCACTATTGGATTATGTGTTTAACAGGCCTCTTTATGTTTGGATTTGTATTTTCATAATATGTAAAGAAAAAACTATTAAAGATCAATATCTTTCTTCACATTAAAAAAGTTATTGGTTTCCAAAGTGACAATTTTCAAGAAACCTCTCCAGTTGGAGTAACACAGGAGGCGAAAAATCATTTTCAAAAATGACTGAAGCTCTGTAGCTTTATGTTCACAAAATAAACGAAACACTTACCATGCTAAAAGGTTAGACAATTTGATTTTCTACATAAAGCTATTAGTCATCAATTTTCGACCTATTGTAATGGCCTAGTCACATATGTTACGTTCGAAAATAACAGAAAGTAAAAACAGCAATTAAAATATGATAACAATATATTTATATTTTGAAAACTAAATAATATAACAATAATATAAAGGAGGTTTAATACTTAAGTGATGTCCAATCAATGATACGGCTTATTCTTGATGTCGATAAATGTCGTTGACGATCCTTGAGAATGTTCCAGATCACGAATGTTTCGATAATCGTTAATAGTTCTCCAATGTTTGTAATAATTCAATAATGTTCGTTGTAATCCTATAATGTTTGTATCCAATAATGTTTGATGATAATCCACAAATGTTTGATAATAATCCACAAATGTTTACGATAATCCACGAATGTATATGATAATCCGTATATAGTGTATGTTGTAATATATGTCCAAATAAAGTCCTCAGGTTGTGTGTTTGTAGAGTTATAAATGTTCCCACAGTAGGTGTCTGTAATATTCCGCTTAGAAGATGTCCTTTGATCAACTTTGAAATTCTGCTTTATTTAGTTCCTTTGAGATGTCCAGTTATGATTACTTAATTTATCTGCTACAGAGTAGATGTCCAGTTATGATGACTTAATTTATCTGCTAAAGAGAGTCACTGTGCTGTTCTTTTTATAATGTGAAAGAATGATCCAGAAACGAATCTTCTGGAACTTCATCTTGATTGGACATCTTTAGTGACATGATTAAATTTTAATGAATGGTTATAATTTCTAGAACTATCTGGATGGTCAAGGGTTAATGAGTCATTCAGTTCAGTTTTGTTTACAAGATACAGTGTATAATGTCATTGTGACCTTGACCTAAGATCTCTAATGAAGAATAGCTCAACATATACAGCAAGCATAGATTACAAATTAAACTATAGGTGAATATAGTAGAATATAATATACATGTAGCTCACTACTGTAACACCTCCCTCCTTAAAAGAAAAGTTTTGAATGCAATGAAAAACTTTTACAATAATATCTTGAGTAGCGAGCGTTACAATTTCTAAAAGTGAGGTTGAGACTTACATAATATTTGTTTACAATAGTCGTTTTATGTGCAGTATGTTTACAAGTATATAATACTTTCTATCGTTACAGTGTGAGTACAATCTAATAACATATAATGTTCTTATAATCCCATACTACAATAATATCTACATAAGTTATGCATTAAGTCATAAAAACAATACACGCAATAGATCATATAACATGTGCAATAGCATAATTTTTGAGTCTGACAAACACAAAACTAGTACAATGCTTTAAATTATCACATGATCTTATGTAAGTATTTCTAATAGTACACTCTCATGTTATCAAGTAATCTTGTGACACTATTTAATGATCACCTATAATGCTCACATAATCTAGATACAATCTTATTGTTCATATAATATCAATTTCACTATTTAGGCAAATGTTTTTATATACAGTATTGTTAAAATAAAGTGACAGTTATCACATATATACAATTTGCCTATCATATAATATAGTCTTCATGAGTTAATCATTATAATTTACAATATCTGACTCTTGAATAACATACATGTATAGTTGTCATTGACATAC